CAAAAATCAGTTTGAGTCACTTTTTGAATTAGATATTGAGAACCTCCTGCAATAAGGTATATGCATTTTATATTTATCATTCTTTGAAATTATATTCATATCAGTATAGGATCTCTTTTAGAAAGTATAACATATAATATGTATACATGTAAATAAAACGTATACCTAAATAAATGTTAATTGTTGTTTAAAGTGTAACATAAATAATGGTTTGGAAAGTACAGAAATTAATTTTAATGACTTATTAACTTAATGAATTATCCTGAAAATCATTTTGTTTTTTTAATCCTGAAAATTAAAGTGATAATGTATAGATAACTGAAAAGTACATTGTCTATTATGTTTGATTACTTCTTATATAAAAAAAAATGAAATACACGGAAAATAAAATGAGCGTAAACAAACCAATGTAGGTGTGGATGAACACTTTTTCTATGAAATAAAATAAATAAGATAAATAAATCTGTTATTTTCTTACAAAGAAATGCGATTTTAAGAAAACAAATAATTTGTTAATGATACATGTATATTGTTTATCTTAATTGTGCCGATTGATGAATTACTATTCCATATAATGAAGAATATACCGCAGAATGATTAATACCGTGGTTTAATAATATGTCTTTTATGAAATTCTCTACCTTAATATACTCCCTCGTAAACCAGACTTACTTATACACAGTGTCATTTGTAATCTTATAACTGTGGTTAATGATACAGGGATAACCTCGAACTACAAACCGTCGTGTCATGGTTTGACCTTTAGATAAGGTGGGAAAAAATTATATTTTACTACAGAAATGGTATTTAGAGAAAAATACGGCTATTATTAGGACACAATGAATATACAGATCGAAGAAGGTGATCCCACAAAACCAATGTTTGGATAAAATTGTGAAATCTACCTCCCACTAGTATACGACGTAACATTTATTCGTGGTATTTTACTACACTAACCAAGTGCTTGAACTTTTTTTGCTTGGAAAAAAGATATCGATATTCCATAATCAATCGTTCGCATGATAAGGCGTAATTTAGGAAAAAAAATCATAAAACACATAAATGAATTTTAAAATTTAAAAAGTTTGAAAATAAAAAGACTGTCATGTCATTCTTTGCCATAAATAACCTACATTGGGTCCTATTCCAAAAATCTGCAATTGTTGATCAAAATCTGTTTAAAATGAAATGCAATAGGGGCGTTTAGGAAAATTTCGAAAACGCATAGCAGAGAATAGTTTAAACCATTATTTTTAATAAATAGCAAAGTAGAAACATATAGTGAAGGAAATCAAAAGGAATTCATAAGCAAGTTAGAAAACTTATACTAATCAGCTTCTTTAATATTTGTTAATTATTTAAATGACAAACCATCCTGTCGTGCAGAATAAATACAGTTGTAAGCTGTTTATAGAAATACAGGAAAATAGACAATGATATTCTACTTCACGCACAACTTGAAATTAGAAAACATGTCCACAGACAGAAATAAAATGTATCCCTTCAAATTTACAAAATGGAGAAATATGAATTATAAAATTATAAAAATGAGTATCGGAAGAGGAAAAATAACAGTAAATGGTAACAGAAAAGATATTAATTAGATACATGTATACATACAAATATTGATGCTGATAAATATTAAAACGTGTACAGATGAAAACATGACGCTTGCTTTATACACATCATAGAATATTTACTTACATGTAGCGGAGGGGGTAGCGTATAAATACTAGTGATTTATTTCTTCAAATAATAATAATAAATAATATGTTGGTAGCGTATCGAAAAGGGGGAAATTGTAACGGTAAATTTTCAGAGGTTTAAACCTCTCCACGGGAACAGTAAGGGGCTATTTACACTTTTTCGGGAAACTAAAATACTGCTGAAGGCGCTACAGCTGAGACGCATCATTTTGTGAAAGGCGAAGATAACGAACAGTGATCTATCTAAAAAAAATCTACAAAGAATACAAATCTGTAAACAGGGCATAAAACACAAATCCCCGAAATTTCAGAGTGGGATCAGGTGCCTAGGAGGAGTAAGCATACCCTGTCGACCGGTCACACCCGCCTGGAGCCCAGTGTATTGATCAGGTAGACGGAATATTCCGTAGTCAAATTAAGTATAATAACAAAGGCCTAACAATTGATTCGAAATATGTCAAACAAAATAAGACTCAATAAGTATAGGTTATATCTGCTAACAAGGTCATTATAACGACCATAAAATTTATAAAATGCTGACTTTAAAAGGGGTTTTGAAATCCCTGTAACATTAACGTAGCTGCCAGTAACCTGTCTCGATTTAAAAATTGATCTTACTTAGAGATCTTACTTCTTGATTATCGAATAAGTTGGGAAACTTCATCCCCATATAAAGGGTATAGGGGAATATTACTTCATAAATAAGTAAAGTTAACGGTTAAAAAGTTTAATTAATCTCGTTTGTAATACAGTTTAGTTGTTAGTTGGTCCTTATCGTCTATACCCAGTAAAACACCCCTTCGTGTACAAATTTTGAGAGGTTTTACGATTTGCATTGTTAACAGATAAATAAATTCGATAATGATGTGTTTTGTTTCATAGCATCAACTAATTTGTTTAAAGTTTGATGGCTGATGGAATGAGGGAGTTAATGTACTTATTAGTTCTACATGTGACACTCTTGTCTAGTTGAATGATTTTGTATATCTTCGTTTCGTGGTAGGACCAGATCAAAAAGATGTGAAGGAGGTGGGCCATAAACCATTTTATGAGATTGTATCATTTTATGTTTGTGTCTCCTTTCCGTTTATGTCTTCCAACCAGTCTCTTGATAAAGACTGTAAACTTGCAAGTTTTTTAGAACCGGTAATTATGCGAGTAACCTCGATATTAACTTGTTACATTTTATTGATAAAATCGCTGGATATATTATCCAATAAAATGTTTTTGTATCACTTTAATATGTAGGTAATAATTTTAAAATCATATTGTGATTGATTGATTGTATCTTGTTTTACGTCCAATTCGAGAATTTTTCACTCATATAGAGATGTCAAATTCATGCTGTGAGAGTGATGTATAAATCTCTATACAAACCTCACAATCTTTATGTATACAAACCACTTTATTTGGAGTAAAACGACAAGAATTGTAACAATGTCAGATATCAGATTTATTATTGGAGTAAAGATCAGTTCTTTTTTCGACCCCCATTTGACCCCCAGGGTGAAAATGAAAATTCCGAAACCTTACTGCACATCTACATGACACCATCAACCATCTCCCAAAAGATGACTAGGCTACTGAATATTTTAATCGTCTTTAAAAGCTGCTTCCACACTGTCCAAACTCAAACAGAAGTAGGGATTTCTATTGAATATAAAGGTGCCGTATTTCTCCATGTTTGGATAATACAATTTTTTTCAATTAAACTTATCATAAGCAACTCACAAGCCACGTTTCCAGTATATAGGGAAAACTATTGAATTTGAATCCCATCCTGCCTATCCCTATACATGTACTATATTGATACATTAAATTGGGTGCCAAAGCAAATACAGTAATGTGTTACTTTCAGAAAACCAAATTCTCATATACTTATATATACAAATACTTATTCCAATGTTTTTAAAATTACATATATTTGCAATTTATCTTAATGTATTTGATTTGCTTCGCAACCAAGTACTGCAGTGTGGTATTCATCATTTAAAAACCCAATAAATCTAATGGTTTTCGTATATTTGTAGCCTAACTTCGTAATTATTCACTATGATTATAATTAACAATAAAACGGCTTACGTAACCTTACCATCGTCGTTTATAAATCATAAGTACTTAAAATAGTCATAAAGTTAAAACGTGAGAAAACTACCTTTTTATTGGTCAAAGATACTTTAAACCAGTAGAAATGTGACAGGAGAACAGGGGATGCTTACTCCTTCATGGCATCTGATCCCACCTTTGATATTTTCAGGTAGTCCGTGTCTTCTCTACTCTCAATTTGTATTGTTTAAATGGATTCTTGAGTATGGGAACTGTGTATTACCTTCACATTCCTTGTGCTCTATCTCTCAATAGAGTGTACTTTTATACACACGCATCTGTCGTTACAAGGTCTGAGGAAGTGTGGCTTTGTACTTGTAAATTTCACGGCCTTGCTCATCGTCTGTCGCCGATTTCCGGTCATTGTTTTTAGCTTCGTTATCTTGATCAGTGTTGTCAATGTGCGGATGTAAGGTTTGTCATTTGCTTTATTTCTGGACGGAAGAGGGACAAAAATATACCTCCTTAGTCTCGTAAATGGAACTCCTAGATTGTTTGTGGTGATGTAGGTCTGCCTTTCTTTTTTCCTCAAAAGAAATCGCAAGTCAATGGATCTTCTTATCTTAAACGGAAATTCTCCTTACTATCATCTTGTTTCCTGACAGATGCTTTTTTAAGTCAAATAAGTTCCTACTGTATAATTTCTTTCACAAAGACCATGTAGCCATTAGAAAGGAAACAGTTCAAATCTGGTGTTTTACTTAGTTTGTATTATTTATAAAATGTGTTAGGCTGAAACATCACACCAAAATTGTCATATAAAATTTAATGGATTTTGATTGAAATATACCCTGCTTTATAAATTTGTTAAAATTTATATTTTTTTTTACACATATTCTTTTTTAAAATTCTATATGATATGAACCATAGATATCTGTTTATGCTTCAATTTTCACATACTGATCAATAATGATTAAGGGAAAAAAACTGAAATAGTTTACAATCGAATAAATCACATAATCTCACACAGCAAAATCAAAGTAACGTAGGCGTGTCTATATTACGGTATCTTTTAATTGACATGCATATTTTATGTGAATAAATCAAAACTTCAATCCCATATCTGAAGACAATTACTATTTTTGAGACGCCCAAGCTAAAGAAAAAGGTATGCTTTTTGAGCCAGCCCCCATGGCAAAAAATACAATATAAAGACACAGTGCAAACAACATGCAACAGTATTCGTGTAGATACTTAAAGTGAAACATAAAACAATGTATGCAGCATTGATAATTTCTTGTTTCTCTGTCGTGGAAATTTATTCCGCATCTATACACAAGAGGTCTTGTTCTGTACAAATTGATGCCGACTTTGTCACTGAGAAGGTGAGTTAGTTTCTTTTCTTGGATATCTTTTATTATTTAATATCCAAAGCAGTTTTGCATGCCCTCAATTTGTTTAATATATTGTGGTTGTGCATATTTTTAATAACATCTAATTCAATCAGTGTAACACAAAATGCCAGTGACGTTTGCATAAATATTTGCTTCATGAAATTGACGGAAAGATGGGATATATGCCTTATATCATACTGAGATTTCTTTTTCTAAATACATAAGATATATTTTGAAAAGAAACAAAGATATATTGATTTTGAGGGACATTGTTGTACATGTTTGAAAAATAAATAATTTCTTATTACTGTAGAAAAATATATCTGCTGATTGAACTTCTTACCTTGCTCTGCTTTTTCAGATGTTTAAATTTTTTAGTAGTATTCTGTATCGAAAAGAACTCAAGGACAAATTTTCAGCGCTTGCATGATATAAATAAATCTAAAACTGTAATACATTTTTAATTATCTAGGGTTACGCAATGCTTAGATGCAGTTATCAATGATGTTGCATTAATCGCGATGAAAGTATAACAAACAGCTACAAAATATATTCTTATTTTGAATTGCTTCGCTCAATTAATAAAAAAGGAAACATTTAATCTGTAAGAATTTAACCTTCAAAATGTTAATATAATGCAGAAGAAGTACTAGTTCTATAAGTAATTTCCTATAAGAAGTTCCAGTTCAGTATCTATTAAAACAAAATCATTGTTAAATCCCTCGCCACCTGCTCACACCTGTGGCATTATATAAGCTCCGTTGACTGCATGTCTTGTGGTACTACATATCTTAAAATACTGCATATAATAACTTGATTGTTAGGGTACAATGCCAAAAAAACTGCATTCTACTTTGTTCCACCCAAAGAAAATCTGATAATCCGTCGTTTATAATTATTGAGGAGATGGAATGGTAACGTAAAACGTTTCAAATATAACCTTGACCCTATATTGATTAACCCGAAGCTATAGTATGCTGTATAGTACAGACAGAACAGTTTCCCTTGTAGTAGTTATTTAAATATATATTAGAGTGAAATTCAAAATGTAAAGGCTCGGTTGGTGTAGGCATTATTATTGCTATGTACTACACACAAGACAGCTTAAATCTGCTTTAAAAACAATACATTTTATTTAATTATAGTCTTATGACTGTAGATTCACTGCTTTCAATATTTTAAATTTCCTTCCAAATTTGATCACGCTGAATTTCTGAAGATTAAACTCGTCAGTTAATTCACACTTTCAATGAATTCCTATTCGGTAAGATTTTCAGATATAATAACAATATTACTTACAATTTCAAAACTCTTACCTCCATACCTAACATAAAACATGCTTTTTGGCATGCTCCTGTAGCCTAAAATCGTCGTGTTAATGATTTGGACGGCTCGTTATATTAACCCGTCTGACTCGTATATCGTCTTGCATCATTTACTCTATATTTCATTATCTTTAGATTCTCCGTGTGTGGTTTTCCGTAACTTGAAGGGAAAAAAAACACGTTTTGAAATTGCTTCTTGTGTTTTTTATTATTTTAAGTTAATGCAGATATTTGTTAGAGCATATGTGTGGTTAGAAATATATATATGCAGACTCACATATTACACAAAGAAGAACATAACAATCCGTTTTACCGGGAGTAATGTTTTCATTTTTTTTTCTTTTTTGTTGTTAACATCTCTGTCATTTAAAAGCCCCTTTTCTAGGAAAAGAAACTGAAATTGACTGAAATTCATTAAGAAGAAGGAAAAGTTTAAGTTAGAAAAAAGCTTGAGAAAAATTAAAGATATACTGTTTTTCATTATGTTCATTACCACACAAAAATCATGGATAAATAGAACATTATTTACCAGATTTATGAATACCTTAAAGGATAACACTAAATAATCTCAAAGCTGTTTATTTCCTATTATCTTTTTACTTAATAATTTCAATTTTAAAACTACAAATTGGGAGTGCTCCCCAGTGAGAGGAATAAACATAATTTTAATCGCAAATAAGACAGTAATTGGATGAAATATTAAATCTATCTGAATAAAGGTAGAACATGCACAAAGTTTAATTAAAAAAACGCAGAGGTAATAAATAAAAATGTGATAATTCTATTATTCTATTTTTATCAATGTTGCATGAATCACAGTAATGTGTTTTATATGAAAATATAATTAATTATTTTTACAAATTATATCTTTTTTTTATTAATTATTATAGTTTCTTGGTGACTGGTACATGGTGAAAAGAAAGCCAACAGGAGCTAATAAGATAACTGTAGAGAAATACGCGTGGCATGTAACGAAAGGGCAGGGTAATGTCCTTAACGTCAGACAAACTGGAAGGTAGGGCTTAAATCATCTTTTTTTTTACATTCTAGGAACCTTTTCAAGAAAAAGATTAGCAGGAATGAACTTTTTAAAGAGAGGAAATATCTGAAATTGATACAGAATATTTATTTATAGTTCTTTGATACCACTTTCTTATGATGACTTATCTCCCCTTTCTGCTTTATCCCCATATTCTGTAAAAATATGGCCATAATACAGCGAAGAAACGGTTGTTTTTCTTAAATTGGCAGGGTGATTGTGATTTCATTGCAATGCATTCTTGTGGTATTTACAAAATTTTGTTCGTTGATTTTTAAACTCATTACTTCTCCATTACAATCAAGTTCTGATCATCTAATCTTCTTAATGTAAAGAAGGAAACAGTAGATAAGCCAAAAATTGTATTCAAAATACTACAGGAGATCCTTATCTCCTAATTATTTAACAAATAATGTACATCCGTAATTCACACTAGCTTTGCAATAAAAAACCTTCATGCCAAGAATAAGGTTATCAAATCAAATCAAATGTGGTTAATATATGTTAATATGTATACCCCTGACATTTTACCTCTAGATTTACAATTGATGGAGTTTACAGACCCTGTTTTAACAAAAGTGCAACTTTGACTCCAGGCGAGAACAATGGGGAGTTTGTCTGGGAATCAAAAACGAGTGAGTACGAAAGTGCGGCTAATTCAATGAATCTATATCTGTGTCATTGCTTAATGAAATACGAAGGATTTTATTCGTGTCTTTGAATAATTATGGAAATGATTATATACTCTATTTTTATTATATTAACATAAAGATTTCCTAGCGTATTTAGACTTTAAATACATTTAACCCATAATTATATTCCTAAGCTATATTGCTAAATCTCTTTTGAAATTAAGAAATCTTTTATACTTTTCATTGTGGTTTTTTTTTTTACAAAAGAGTTTTTTTTTTATTGATATACATGTACTGTATTTCTTAATTTGACATCAAGAGTTACTTACATTCATTTTTTTTAAATAAAAGTTCGTCATGAAAATGAGAAACAAAAGATAATACATAAATTCATAAAACTGATGTTAATGTGAAGTTCTATTTTTATATTAACGTCTAGTCTCATGTACATAGCACTGTAAACATACTGCTCTCGTTTATCGACATATGTTTATACGTACGATCTAATGAAGAAAAAAAATTCCGTTTACTTTGACACATTTCAATACAAACAAGTGAAATATGTATGGCGGCATAAAATGATTATTTAATCAGTATCAAAACACAATGTTAATCTATTCGCAGAGGTTTCGAATGCTGACATTGCGATCATCAAGATGGAAGAAAATTTAGCGTTTGTGAACATGTGTGTGCCTAATAAGAAGGATGGGAAATGTGGTTCTTTTGTTCTTGCTCGAGATGACAGTCCAAGTGAACAAGAAATTCAAGCTATAGACACAGGAATCAACACAGAGCTCTGTGAGGACAGTTCCAAATTCGATAACCTTATAAAGCAAGATGTCGAAAGTAAGCTACATTTAAATATTCATTGAAAACATTTTCCATTCCCTTTTATATAAAAGCTACAACTTTTTTCTCACTTAAAGTATGTTTTATAGCAACATTTGATTTTTATTTCTTTGTTTGGTAGTTTGAGTTGCATATAATTTCTTGAAATAAAAATTAGAGTGATGGATATTAAGCCAAACAAACAATAAGCATGTATTGTTTTTCCGAGCATAAACTTTGGATTAAAAAAATTACAATCGCCTTTTTAACTTCCATCTGTTTTTTATTTTATTTTTCAGTATGTCCATAGTCTCTCGATGTTCTCCTGCTATATACTTGTCCTACATCTGTACATATTCTTTTGTATTTAACTAGTTTTAGTGAATCCAATGTTATTCTGTTATTTATTTTTATTTTTTATTTAATAAAATATCAATTGAATATGAAAAAAGTTTTGTTTTATTTTTATTTTGAATGTACCATGAGTCGGACAATTTCAACTTCTAGAACATTCTTTGAATTATAAAAGTGTTTTTCAAAAGTTGTTTACAAATCTGAATGAATCTGTCTTTACCGAACAAAAAATACTTTAGTTAACTTTTGTTTATAATTAACTTCATATAACTTTAATATCAAAGCTTTTGCCATACACAAGTGAGCTAAGGCTAGTTATATGCGTTTCTATGCAAAGAAACTAATAAATAGGCAGTAGAGGTTTTTGAAATATATTTTCTTACACATACTTAGTACCCACCGTATGTTGTTACCAATACACATTAGTATTTACTACTCGTTTTAATAAAACACATAAACAGGAAAGACTTCGGCTCAAGGGCATATCAAATATAATTTTGCATAAATAATGTATAATGTATAAAAGAATTTTTTAATGATGAATAAAATTGCTGCACAAATTCTACGCACTCTCACATTTAACAAGCATTCTGAGAGTATTGCATTAGCAATATTAGTCCCCTACCGGCAAGTGTAATCTGGTTCCCGTTAAAAATTGAAAATGCCATAATTCCGTCAAAAATCATTGAAGCGGAACGAAATGCAAACTTGATCTATAAGTAATCAAGGTAAAGTCACATACCAAAAATCAGCTCAATATCTGCAAGCGTTTAGAAAAAAATTGCGGAAAACCCTTAAAAATTGAAGAGGTCGTAATTTCGTCAAAAATCAATGAAGCGGAACGAAAAGCAAATTTGATCTGTAACTCATCAAGATACACTCACACATCAAAAATTAGCTCAATATCTGCAAGCGTTTAGGGAAAAAGTGCGGAAAACCAAGTGGGACAGACAGACAGACAGACGGACGGACAGACTCAGTTTCACCGGTAGGGGACTAATAAGTATTTGAGTAAACTTGCACCGGGCTGTGAATTTTTACCTTGTTTAAACTCAAAAGTTTATAAATAGTAACTAATCAACTGAACTGTCGATATTTATTCAGCAATATTATCAATCCTTGGCATATTCTGCTTCCAGTTAAAAATTCTTTCTTAAAAGGAGTTTCATGCTGTGGCCTCAAATTCGATCTTTACCTTTATATAAGTTTTATCGATTACGTTTTATCAATCAACAGTATTTTTTTTTATTCGTAAGTTGATTCGATATATCCCATTAAACTCAAAATAAAGGACACCTCAGCGTCTGACACATCTGTTTCATACTTTGGTGTTTTACTAAAAAAGACATTGATGGCAAATTCACACACTTCATGCATTCTTACTTCATTTCATTTCTTTTTTTTATATTAAAGGGAAGTATTATTTCCATATTCACGTATTATTTCCAAAGTTTACTTAATTGCAATTTATTCTTAAAGATATAGGGCCTCTAACGCTCAGAAAAAAAGAAGTTCTAGGAGTTAAGACCCATAGTATCAACTAATTTACTATATAGTAAACTGAAGTTAACTACAGCAAAATATAGCTGGTTATAGTAATTTTTTGCTAAGGTGATTCATATGACATTCCATGTATGTCGATAAAGTCGTCAATGAACCAGTTATACATTCAAATTTATCATGGCCTGAAAGGAATCATTTTAAGGGAGCCGACTGGGGTCTTACTGTTTAAAAACTACTATAGAGAAACTCTTTTATTTTATACCATATGTACCTTACATTGACTTTAGTATACATGCTTAGTATAGTGAAAATCTACTGTCTGGTTATTTTTAGGGACCATCTCAACGTACAGGTATATAAACTATAGGATTATATAGGAAAATACTATTTTTTCGCACTTCTGAGCAAATTATACAAATGCTACTATAGACTTTTTGTTCAAATTATATTATTTGATGAGTAATACCATATTGCACATTTTATGCAAGAAACACAAAATTCTACCGTCTGGTTTCTAGAGGGGCCATCTCAAAATGTCAAAATTCATGATATTTTCCTGTTTTTATGGAGTACTACAAAACATGACAAGTTGCCCGCGTGGCGCAGTGGTTAGAGCGTTCGCTCTAGAGTCCGGGAGTAAGGAGTTGATCCTTACGTCGCGGGTTTGAATCCCACTGTGGGACGTGGAGACCGGTCCTTCGATGAGACCGTTTAAACCGAGGTCCCATGTCGCAGTAGGTGCTGGCACGAAAAAGATCCCTCACTGCTCAATGGCCCTAAGTGCCGAGTATAGGTCAGAATTTGCAGCTCTCAACTTGCAACTGGTGGCGTCTCCATATGAGTGAAAAATTCTCGAGAGGGACGTTAAACAATAAACAAACAAACAAAACACGCAAAAAAAAAAACAAAACAGATTTATATAAATCTCAATTTCCTATGTTTTAAATTTCAAGAGCATCTATTTTATAGTTTTTATTTTATTACATAATTAACGACCCCTCTTAAAGAACTTCGGTTATTCATGACGTCAAAAACACGTTATTACGACGTCTATCTACCCATCATTTGAAAAAATCGTTTTAAAAATCGGTTATTTAAAAACGTAATTAGATGTTTAACCTGAGTTTTCCTAAATTTGTTAATTTTTATAAATTAAGTAAAAATAGATGCTTTAAAAGAGAAAATACGCTTTATTTTACTGAAGTATTACGCAATCCAATCCCAATCGGCCCCCCTAAGTTCACTATTTCTAGCAACCAATTTTTGTTTTAAAAAAGTAAATGAACAAACAATAAATTTCTGCTTCTTAAAATTATTTGTTTACAACGTCAATTTTCTAGTTCTAATATTAAATAATATTTAAAAAATTATGCTTTATCATATATATGCAATGGCTTTGATATCGTTTTTTACTACATCTTTCGTACGATTATGTATTGCTGGGTTATGTATCTTATTTGTGTGAGGCAACTTGTTAAAGAAGTAATACATCAATAACAAATTTTAGGAAAATTATATATAATTGAGGAACGTGTCGTGAGAACTTATATTCGATTTCTTTTAAAATCTCTCCTCCTATTTTAATGATATGTTTTGAAATTTGAATTTTTTTCATGATAATAACGAAATATGCTTTCTATCTTTTTCAATGACGTTTAAAGCTTTGTATAGAATAAGAAAAGGAAAGGTTACCTGGTATGTTAATTAACATAAATATATGTAATAGAACAATTTAGTTCGCTAATCTATTTTAAGAAGAAAGAAAACAAATTATGTAGGAATAAATCATAAATAATGATTTATGAAAACACGTTTACAAGTAGCAAAAAAATTAATAATAATACTGCATACATCTTATTTGACAGAAATTTCAAGATTTTGATTGTTAATCAGCATACGTGTATATTCCGTTGAGGCATTAAAAGCATATTTTGCTTATATAAAGGCTTTTTAGGTTTTCTTTTCTAATATTTAGTGCCCCATTTTCAAAAGAAATTACGACAAAGACCGTAATGAAATTTTGCGAAAAAACTCTCTATTTGACATTAATTTGAAAATGATTTTAATCTTTTTATAAAAAAAGAATTTAGAAATATTATTATACAAGTATATTTTACAGTAAAATCAAATTGCAAGATTTTACAATCAAGTAGTTTTTGTTTACTTAGTCGCAAGTACTTTTGTGAAACGGACCTCAGAAACGTATGTCACAACTTGGACGACTTTGACAAAAACAAATTGTATGACTTCTTTAAACAGAAGAACAATTGATATTTGAAATTATGAGGATAAAAATAATATGAGGAGGAAACTTACTTCCGAATGGCGATAGAGAGTATAAACCACAGGATGAAACAACGTCAGTTAAAAGGGGGATAAAGGTTCACTCAAATGTAACTGAGTGGCAAAGCTCTGCAATTCAGGCACATTTCCAGGAGTCTCAGTAAATACTAAATTGACTTAATGGCAGAGTTTTATCTTGTGAACGTTCTATATCACGGACTTGAATCCAAGTCCCAAAATACAGAAATTCAAGAAGGAATTCTATATAACCTATCAATTATTTTAAACGTTACTGAAGTAGAGATGAATGTCAATTTTATATTACTTGAAATATTTGTTTTAATTACCCTTTAAAGTGTATTTACTCAAGGACTCAAGAGTAAAAAACCTGGATTTTCATGGGCTGTTGCGATTTTTTTTACACTTTAAAATGTGTTTTTTTTAATCAAAGGTTTACTGATTATGTAATCATCTGACACTATTGATGGCACATGTATAGATGATTTGATTGTGTGACCAACCAGTATATCATCTGTTCTTCAATATGTCTAAATTTATAAGAGATCAAAAGTTTTCTTGATAGAAATCTTTTCAAACTTAGAGACACTGGTAATATTATATTCAGATTCTATAAATTGCTTTTTGATTAGAAAAAGACAATCTATGTGTCTGTTTTGTTTTGTTTTGTTTTGTTTTTTTGTTTTTTTTCGGGGGGGGGGGTAGATCATACTCATATTTTTTAAGAAAACATTATCTGTGTGTCTGTTGTGTTTTTGATTTTCAGATTCTATAAATTGCTTTTTAAAAGGACATAATGTCTGGTCTCTTTTTTTTTTGGGGGGGGGGGTTAGATTATACTCTTTTTCACAGTTTACATATATTGGGGGAACACAAAAATTGGGTCACAACATTTAAATGATTCATTTATTAATTAAGTTTTCAATTTGCGTTATAAAACCTTTTGTTTTGTAGATACGAGAATCAGAAAAGTATGGTAATTTTTTCAATTAATTTATCGTAGTGGTTTCCTCGCAAATTCGGTCAAGAAAAGATTGCAAATATAGGTGCATCGCATAAATCTTTGCCACAGTAAAATTTCCATCGATGGAGAACCTTGAAATTAATAGACTTGTGTAAAATGTCCATTCATTAATCCCTATTCTGGTTTTTTACATCATTAAGATCATGCATAACCTTGAACCACTGATCCACAAACAAAGGATAGTAAGAAATTGACATTTACTTTTAAATTTACA